GAAAACATAATTTTATTTTTATTTTAAAACATTTAACAAAATTAAAATAATACTTCCTAGCACTAAAGATAAAAAAAGACATTTTAGATAAAAATGGTATATATCAAATTAGATGTGAATGCAACAAAAATATAATGGTCAAACTAAATGTAATTTGAAATATCATCTTAATGAACATAAAGGTTATGTATGCAATAAAAAGATGCAAATTTCTCCTCTTGCTGAACACATTGTTCAAATATGTCATTTGATACATTGGTGTGAAACAATAAAATTAAATGCACTTAACACTCAAAGTGAATTGAATATTAAAGAATCAATAGAAATTCTGTGCTGAAAATAAATAATTATTTGTTAAGTAGAGATGAAGGGTTAGCTGGTGATAATACAAAGTTTTGGAAAGAAATATTGACTTCTTATGTATAATACTCATATCACACTCATAGATTACGACGAGTTAATCCTTTTCTCTATAAAACTTCATGCCTGTCATGTAAGATTGTGGTCCTGATGATGGTAGTGTAAAGCTACTGAAATATGTAGTCTTTTAATTTTGGCCATCAGCAAAATATAGTTTTTACACTGCATTTTAAACACTTATCATATTTTTAATTTTAAAAGTTGCCTTAAATGAATCTTTTTAACTTTCATATTTTTGATATTATTTTGTACAAACTCTTCTCCTCCACCCATTTCTGAAATTAAACATAAAGGTAAAAATATACAAGTTAAGAAAATTGTCTCTCTACATAATTTGAATGCATAACAATGGTTAATTTTAATTAATATTAAAATTTATTAGTTTTCTTTACTTCGTGCTCCTATATTTGCTAACCCCCAGGTTTGACCATATAGACAAACTTTCAAAGAAAATGAGGAAGAAAACAACATTATATACAATTATTTTAGCTAGCACATAATTAACATTTCTGAACTTTTCTAATCTTATAGCTAGCATCTTCCACAACAAAAATGTTTAAATTTTCAGTTTACGTGTCATCCATTGTTTGTTTATAAAAACAATAAAAAAAGGTTAAATATATAAGATGTATTTATTACTATAGTTAATGTTTCAGGCTACCACCCTTCCTCAGAAGTAATGTAGGCTCTTAAGTGTAGGAACTTCACAACAAATGACAGACAGCACAACGTGAGGTTTAAACTATAAACTCTGTGCCTTGGTAACCATTGTAACAATGATTGTATAGTCTAATGATATTGCAATACATAAAAGTTTTGTTTGGTTTAATGCTTGTGAAGAATATTAGTTAAATTAAGAGAAATTCAAATAAAAGGTAATTTTATATAAACCTGGAAAAAAGTTAAGCACCCCCGTGTTTTTTTCAAGTGATTCAGATTCAACGTTCTTGTGACTGATTATAAATTACCATTCAATCTAAACGT